AGAGTACACACACTCGCACACACACTCACACATGCAGAAGCATCTCATAATAGTACATGTTATGTAGGAAAGTAAAATTAGATATGAAGGGTACAGAAATGGATGGGAAGGGAAGGTAGTGCCACTTTACATTTGTGGCCAGAAAAGACCTCTCTGTAAAGGTGACATTTAATGAAGACTGGAGAAAAAGAATATGCAAGCTCTGTGGTCATCTGCAGGAGGAGTACTGCGGGTTACAGAAATAGCAAAACATTAAACAGTTTCAGCAGATTCAATAAGCGAGGAGGAAAATGGCTAGAGTAGAGTAAAGGAGAAAGTACCAGCCAATCAAAAGAGGGAGATTCTTGTAGGCCATTGTGAGAATTCTAGGTTTTATTTCATTTCAGCATGAAATGAGCAGCCCTTAAGAAAAACTTTGAGCTGGAGATATAAGCATCAGCTGTCATGCAAAATACACCTCAATGGTCACTACAGCTGCCATGTTGAGAGAAGCCAGGGCAGACTTAGCCTGCAGTAGTCCAGGATGAAATGATGGCAGCTTCCCTCCGGGTAGGGAAGGAGCAGTGGAGGTTGTTCAGCTGTGGTTCTGCTCATGTTGGGAGGTTACTGGGGAAAAAATGAGCCACTGAGTGCCCCAAAGATTAAAGGACAAAAGAAAGCCAATACCAAGGATTTGGTCTGAAGCAACCGAAGAACATGCTGCCCTTTGCTGAGATAGGAGAGAGCTAAGTTTGGGGAAAATAGGATGAGTTTGGGATGGTTAGACACCAAAATTAGGATGAAGATGGTGTGGGCTCTAAGATGGTGTGGGCTCTACCTAAAAGCAGCCTTTCTAAAACCTGAGTCAAAGAGAATTGATACTGAGCCTTCATTCAGAGGAGGGTAGGAGTGGGGTATGCAAAGTCTGAGTACAAGATGGAGAGCCTGGGAAGGGTCTCTAAACTAGAAGCAAACAGATAAGACTGAGCATGAGAATGGAAGGTGTGGAAATGTTCCCAACTAACCCAAGGCGAAGCCTTTGCTAAAACTGAGCTGCAGGGAACTGCAGGGGACTAGGGTAGAGGATTACAATGGAGAGCAGTCAGCTAGGCTTCAGGGAAAAAGTGGGAATGACCTGAGCTTCCAAGGAGGAGGTAATTTTGGCATAGAGACAGAGGGAATGGAAAGAAGCAAGGGCAGTAGGTAAGACAGATGAATGAAGTCAAAGCTGGCAAGAATGGTGTCCTTGAGACCCCCAAAACAAAATACAGGCTATTGCCATTGATGGTAAGACCCTACTGCTTTTCATGGCTTGAGGAACTATATTAATTTATTAAGATATGTAGATCTAATCTTTGTGTTCAACATTATTCTATTTTCAAATGACATTTTTTTCTTGTTATTTACATTTAAAAATTATTAATTAAAAATACCATAACCAGGCTACTTTGACTTACAGCTTCTGGATAACTGGCCAGGATATGATTTGGATTTATTCACGTACCCACAGCACTACTATGGTGATCTGGAGTGTGTGCTTATCCCTCACGGCATCATAGTGGACAGGTGAGTGCTGCATCCCAAGTGAGCATTTCACTGGGCAGCCCCTTCTTCTGTGACTCCTACAGTCCTGTTAAGTCTCTCTTTTTGGTGACTGGGGGAACTTCCATAGTGTAGCAAATTTGAACAGAAGGAGCATGTGCCCTCACGGAATGGTGTGTGTGGGCATTTACTCTAAACGATTGGTAAGAAGGATATACACATGTAAGCTATTATAAACACACATTGCCCCAAAGTGATTCCCTATATAAACCATAAAGATGGGACCAGAAAGCATGGCTTTCTACCCAGAAGCCTTTGTCTTCTGGTTTTCAGAGACTTTTGGTTGAACTAGGGATGGTTAGCAGGTGAACTTTACCTTCATCGGACACTCTTAAAGCCCCAACTTTCCCTGGAACTTTCATTTCCTTTGGAGCAGACAGTGTGTCACAGGTGGGCCGGGCAGCATGTGTCTGTTTGTATCTGTCAGTGGTGATGTTTTCAGAATAGCAGTATTTCCCTTCAAATCATCTGGGGAGAGCACAGTTATCTTCTTTCCTGTTCTAGATCCTTTACTTCTAGTCTTAAACACTTCAGCTTGCACTTGGTTTTCAAAAGGCCGCCTTTGATTTACTACCATGGGTCTGGATTTGTAGGTATAGCTTTTTAGCAGAACTGCCTGAGTACCTAGCCCACCCAGCCCATTCCGGTACCAAGATTGATTAAGGAGATCTTCACATTCACGTGGAAAATGAGCTTCCTGGTGACATGGCATAAGGTCAGGATCAGAGACTCCTCAGAAGCCCAGACCTCAGGGAGAGGAAGACAGTGGAGAGTGAAAAATGGAGTCTCTAGGCTAACTCTTCTTTTGGAAGTATTTCTACCTTTACTGTTTTTTTTTCTTGATCTGTTAATACTCTTGTGAGGTTAAATTTAACACTGTGAACCAAGTCCTCAAAACAAAACAAAAGTTACAAAAACAAAAACAAAAAACCCACCCACTGGATGCATTCCAGCTGTCACTGTCAGGAGGAAAAAGGATTGACTGTCATTCATACAAAGTCCAAGATTGTGTAAGTGTAAGATTTCTTTTACTTAAGACTTCTATGTTGTTTATTGTCTCAGCTCATGGTATATCATAAAAATATGTTCTAGTGAGGGGTTTATCATGGCCTAAGATGGGTTTTCCATGGCAAACACATTTGATCCTTAAAAGGGAAAGAATTTCTGTCAAATAAATTTGGGAAATTCTGAAGTTTTCCAAAGTGCATATTAAAAATTGGAAATTTTTTGCCCCCCAAAATTGTAATAACGGCTCTTAACTTAAACAATCATGTCAACTTTATTTGTGCAAAAAGAAGCTTCATTTATTCACTGTTTCATATATCTCATAAGCAATTTCCCTTAATAACAGTTTGGGAGGCCCTGTGTATAAACAAACAATTTTTTAAAAATTATTTATTTATTATTTATACATGTATGCCTACAGGTCAGAAGAGGGCATCAGATCTCATTATAGATGGTTTGAGCCACCATGTGGTTGCTGGGAATTGAACTCAGGACCTCTGGAAGAGTAGCCAGTGCTCTTAACCTCTGAGCCATCTCTCCAGCCCCAAACAATTTTTTCAATTGAGTTTTGTGGTTTTAATTAATTACACCCAGACTAAATACATGATCAAATCTGTGTAAAAGACTTAGCTTTTTCCCTATCCAGTGAAACTGCTCAGTGAACTTGTTAGAGTGACTATTGTTATCCTTTATGTCTAAGATTCCTCCTCAGTGGTCTAGAGTGGGGCTCAGGAATTTGGTCCTCAGCTTTCAAGCCAGCATTAAACATCCTTTACAGAATTCACCCATTATGGGGAATGAGTCTATGGTTTCAGTACATTTTTATGTTTGGGCCCCATCTCCACAATCTGGTTTTGTAATTTCACTAATCTACTGTCAGGCAGTTACTAATCAGCATTCTTTCCCTGGAAATTTCTCTGCATGTGCCATGGAAATAAAGTCATAAATATCTAATCATAGATTCAGTAAACCTTTGGACTTGTGATTTAGACTTGTAAACAGTACAGTTTTTAATACGGATGTATCTTTTCAATTCTCGTGGATGAAGTCCTTGGGGTGAAATTCTAGGCTTCCTGTGAGTTTCAGCAACTGCAGTTTGTTTCCCAAAGTGACCGCGACCTTTTCCAGCCTCACTAGTGGTTGAGCAGGACCCCAGTTCTCTTCATATATTTGCTGACATTTTGTATTGTCTGTCCTTTGGGTCATAGTCATTCTAGTATATGTATAATGAATGGTATCTCCCCGTGATTTGTACTTTCTGAATCAGTGATATGCTTATCAGCTACTCATAGTTTTTTCTATGGGGGTAAAAGGTGTGCATACAAGGCTTTTGCCAATTTTTTTTATTTGGTTGTTGGTCTTCCAGTTGAGTCATAAAAGGTTTAAATATATATACAATTATAATTATAATCATTTAAATTATATAAATATATAAGCCAAGTTGTGGTGGCACACACCTTTAATACCAGCATTGGTGAGGCAGAGGCAGATGGATCTCTGAGTGTTCAAGGCCAGTGTGGTCTACAGAGTGAGTTCTAAGGCAACCAGGGCTATACTGTGAAACCCTGTCTTAGAAAAGGAAGATAGATAGATAGATAGATAGATAGATAGATAGATAGATATGGATATAGATATATAAATATATTAGATATAAATCCTTTATTAGGTTATGATTTGCAAATATTTTTTCAGTCTGCCTGGTTTTGCCATTTTCTTATTGGAATGTTTTGAGAATAATGCATATTCTGTTCTTTGGTGGCATGTTCTACGAGTATCACTAGTTCCAGTTTGTTGATGGGTTGTTCAATTCAACTTCATCTTTGCTGATTTTCTATCTGCTGAATCTGTCCATGCCTGGTAGAGAGAATGTAGAAGTCTATAAGTACAATGGTGGATGTGTCTGTTTCTCTTTGCTGTTCTGTCAGTCAGCTGGCATCTCTAGGGAAATATGTAATAAGATTGGTGTGTTTTCTTCAGGAACTAACAGAGATCCATGAAGATGAAATGACTCTCTTTAGTCCTGATACTTTTCCTTACTCTGATATCTATATTCTGACTGAAAGTGAGACAGTTTCCTCAGCTTACTTTTCATTGTCATTAGCATGATGCATTCTCTATTCTTCCACTTTAATCTGAGTCTTTATGTTTAAAGTGGGATGGGGGGAGGCTAGAGAGATGCTCAGTTGGTAAAGTACTTGTGCAAGCATGCAGCTCTGAGTTTGATCCCCGGTGAAAAGACTCCTGTGCCTGTAATCCCAGCTCTGGGGAGAAAGAGACAGGCAGACCGTGGTGCAGGGCAGCCAGTTTATCCTAGCTGGTCAGCTCCTTGACCCACTCGAGACCCAGTCTCAAAGATGTGATAGACAGCTCCTAAGAAATGATCCCTTAGGTTGACCCTGGCATATATCTTCATATAAATACTCCCACACATGCACATGCATGCACATAAACATGTGCGTGTGTACACACACACACAAACCCTGTATACATGGGTACACACACTAAGTAAATAAATGTGATGAAAAATTTATGAATTCAAATGCATCTTTGGTGATCATATTTAGACAAACACTACCTGAAAACATAGCAAACATTCTACATGTGCATATATATGAACATTTACAACGTCCTTACTCATCAGGGAGATGCAAATCAAAATGACCCTGAGATTTCACCTTACACCCATAAGAATGGCTAAGATCAAAAACTCAAGTGACAACACATGCTGGAGAGGATGTGGAGAAAGGAGACCCTCTTCCATTGCAGGTGGGAATGTAAACTTGTACAACCACTTTGGAAATCAATCTGGCACTTTCTTGGACAATTAGAAATAATGCTACCTCAAGATCCAGCTATACCATCCTAGCCATATATCCAAAATATGCTCGAGTATACAACAAGGACATTTGTTCAACCATGTTCATAGCAGCCCTGTTCGTAATAGCCAGAATCTGGAAGCAACCTAGATATCCTCAACGGAGGAATGGATACAGAAATTGTGATACATTTACACAATGGAATACCACTCAGCTATTAAAAACAAGGAAATCATGAAATTTGCAGGCAAATGGTGGGAACTAGAAAAGATCATCTTGAGTAAGGAAACCCAGAAACAGAAAGACACACATGGTATATACTCACTCTAAGTGGATGCTAACCATACAATATAGAATAAACATACTAAAATCTATACTCCTAAAAAAGCTAAACAAGAAGGAAGACCTTAGGGAAGATGCTCAATCTTCATTCAGAAGGGCAAACGCGATAGACATCAGAAGCAGGAGAAGACTAGAAACAGGACAGGGGCCTACCACAGAGGGCCTCTAAAAGACTCTACTGATCGAGGTATCGAAGCAGAAGCTAAGACTCATAGCCAAACTTTGGGCAGAATGCATGGAATTTTATGAAATAAGGAGAAGATAGAAAGACCTGGAGGGGACAGGAGCTCCAAAAGGAGACCAACAGAGCCAAAAAACAAACAAACAAACAAACAAAAAAAAAAAAAAACTGGGCCCTTGGGTGCCCTGCAGAGACAGATAGCCCAACCAAGGACCATGCATGGAGATAACCTAGAACCCCTGCACAGATGTAGCCCATGGGAGTTCAGTCACCAAGTGGATTCCTTAGTAAGGGTAACAGGGGCTGTCTCTGCATGAACTCAGTGACAGGCTCTCTGTTCACCTCCACCTGGGGGGTGCAGCCTTGCCAGGCCACAGAGGAAGACATTACAGCCAGTCCTGATGAGACCTGATGGGCTAGGGTCAGATAGAAGGGGAGGAGGACCTCTCCTATCAGTGGACTAGGGGAGGGGCATAGAGAGAGAAGAGCGAGGGTGGGAGGGATTGGGAGGAAACAAGGGAGGGGGCCATAGCCAGGATCCAAAGTGAATAAATTGTCATAAATAATAAAAATTCAATTATATATGAATATATAGATTGTATGGAATTCATATAACATTTATGGAATATAGATATAAAGTTATGTATGAATATATACATAATTTAGTTTATCTACTTTAACCTCTCCAATTTTAAACGCCCGTGAGGATTCTTTGTAAGGTACATGCTTGAGCTCGTGTTCAGGGTTTTCGTTTTGTGACATGAATGAGTAGAAACCTGTCAAGATAGTACCACAGAACAGTCAGACGCAGGTCATGATGTGCATGGCCTCCAGGAACATCTTCCACACTGTATTGTCAGTTCTTACCATTGTATCCAAGAGCATCTTTCATGTATGCTGCCTTTGGTGAACATATGATTTTTGTGGTTGTTTGTTTAGTTACTCTGAACTTGACTTTTCTTCCAGTATAAGGTGAGAGAGTCACTCCCTGCCTTAGGGTTTCTGTTGCTTTGATAAAACACAAGGACCAAAAGCAACTTGAAAGGGAGAGGATTTATTTCATCTTACATTCCCTTCACTAGGGGAAGCAAGAACAGGCACTGAAGCAGAGTGGGGAAGTGCAAGCTCTTGAGGAAAGCTTGCTTTCCTATATAACCCAGGACACCTGTAGCAGGTATGGCACCACCCACAGTGATCTGGCTCCTCCAGTCTCAGTCTATACTAACCCCCACAGACTTGCCTACAGGCCAATCTTGTGGAGGCATTGTCTCAATTAAGATTCCCATTTCCCACATAGACCTAGGTTTGTAACAAGTTGACAATAACAAAAAACAATCAGTACTTCCTCTGTTCCCACTTTCTTTGATATAATATGAGGAAATTACTAAATACCATCAAAACCTTTTAAAGTGTAACAAGCAGATACTATAATGATAGAATAATAGCATGCGTCGTGGTGATGTCGCGGCTAAAAGTATGTTTAAACACTCTGTTTCCACCTTAACAGAAATTTCTGCCTGGAGCTTTCTGTTTCCCAAGGTTTTCTCTATGTCCACCCAAATGATCTAATCTGTATAGAACATCATACTGTTTATTAGTTGTTCATTAATGTATCTTTTATTTCTCACTTCTTTCAGAATTGAGAGGCTGGCTAAGGATATAATGAAAGATATAGGCTACCACGATATTCTGGTCCTGTGTGTACTGAAAGGAGGTTACAAGTTCTGTGCTGATCTTGTAGAGCACCTCAAGAATATCAGCCGGAATTCAGATCGCTTTGTTTCAATGAAGGTTGACTTCATCAGACTCAAGAGCTACAAGGCAAGTCATTACGTGTTCTATTTTTATTGCATAACTATTAGAACCCACAATTGCTTAGTACAAAAGAGCTAGTAAAGTTATGAAAATGAAGACTATTGTGTATAAACACTGAAATAAAATGAAGAGTGTAGGTTTTTGTTGTTGCTTTTTAAAAACAAGAATTTCTCTATAGCCCTGGCTGTCTCCGAACTCCCTCTGTAGACCAGGCCTCAAACTCAGAGATCCTCCTGCCTCTGCCTCCTAAGTGCTGAGATTAAAGGCATTCTTCACAACACCAGCTTGAATATATTTTTTAATGTACTAGAATACAATGGCAGTTATAAAAATAATATTCTTCTATTTTTACTCTTTGGGGATGGTCCCTGCATTTGTTCAGATGAGTAAAGCTGATGGATGTGGTGAATGTGAAGAAGTCCAGTGGAGGCACCTGTGCTTAATGCTCATTCTTGGTCCTGGAGTCCTGTGGGAGGGAGTGCAGCCCAATGGGGACACCTGGGTCCCTGTTGTCATCATCTGAGGTGGGGAAGGAAGCCTGGAGGGATGTCACTGGGAGGAGACCAGGCCAAGATCTTCCGCTGAAGCCTCTCCACCAGCCTGTGATGGCTTGCTGGCTGCCTCTGGATGGAATTGATTCCAGTGGTTTCCCAAATACATACTTCACTTAGGCTTCTCTTTTCACCGTAATGTTAACTTGTGTAATATTTTTAATTTAGTGGCCAATTAATTAAAAAACTGGGATACTATTCATTAAGAAACTCTTTTGGTTAAAATCACGACTGTATTTTCATTGACTAAACTACCTTGGCACATTTGAGCTCAATAGTGGGTCTTAATTGGCTTCATACCCCAAACTTAATGGCAGAAACCAATACACGTTTATTCATGGACAGTTTTTTGGGTTATAAATCTGAATGTGTTTATAGCTAGTTCTCAGTCTTTCCTAGCTGAAGTTCAGGATCCTTTTTCCAAGAACACCAGCTGTGGTCATAAATCAGTTCCCATCTCCTTACTGCAGGTGTGCTAGACTTGACTTCCATTCCTCCAGCCCTCAGGTCTTTGCCTCAGGGCTTCTCAGAGGTTCATTCACAACAGAGTTAGAGTTTTCCTTCTTCACACAGCTGGGAGGCTTCCCATTCAAGAAGAAACCTACCCTTCTTGTAAGCACAAGGTCTTGTTCACCCAGCTGGCTAACTGGACACATACATTTGGGAGGGAATTCTGGCCACATTTTCAAGTTTGTTCACACTCAAGTGAGGAAGACTGCTGAGCACGTGTGTACAGGAATATCACTCATGTCAGTTAAGGTTTTTAGTGTTATGATAAAACGTCATGATCAGAAACAACTAGGAGAGGAAAGTGTTGATTTCACCTGACAACTCTTAGGCCATACTCTGTCACTGAGGGAAGTCAGGGCAGGGACTCAGACAGGAACATGGAGGTAGGAATTTAAGACGAGCCATGGAAGAATGCTGCTGACTGGTTTCCTTGACATGGCATTGGGGCGGAGGGTGTGCCCACAGTGAGCTGGACTCCCCCACATCAACCATCAATTAAAAAAAAAAAAACAAAAAACAAAAAACAGCAACATACTGAAACAAACACACAAACAAAAAACAGACTTGCCTACAGGCCAAGGCCTTAGCTGAGAGGCCCTCTTCCAAATGACAGACTCTGCCAAGCTGACAGAACACCAGCCAGCACAGCCGTCTTCAGGACACCCTTGGAATTCTGCCTACAGTTTTTATGTGACACTTTTCCAGTTGCCCCAGGTCTAAGGCAGCTTCAGTTGAGTCATCATTTCTTAAGATGCATCATCTGAGCTCCTGGACATCCCAGGGTCAAATGGAGATACTTTTGTTTTCCTGTGGGAATCCTTACCTGGTTGTTGGGTTCTGTGTTCTCTTCAAAGCCTTCTTCTTTCCTTTCCATGAGTTGAATAGCTATTCTTCTGTCTTAACAGGAATTTTCTCACTTATGCGGCCCTTGTCTTTATTGTATTGTCCTAGCACATAAAAAAGAAGAAAAATGTCCTTTTAAATATCTTTTAAGAGTGAAAGTGTGTGGTGGCATATGCTAGTAATCCTAGCACTCAGGAAGGCAGAGGCAAGTGGATCTCTGTGAGTTCAAGGCCTGCCTGGTCTATAAGGTGAATCTAGGACAGCCAAGGCTACACAGAGAAACCATGTCTAGAAAAAAAAAAAAAAAAAAGAGTGAAAGTGAGGTTTATTGAGGGTCAGTTTATATGTAGAAGCAGTCTTCTCTCATTTAGTTGTTTTTTTTGTTTGGTTAATTGGTTGGTTTGGTTTTTCAAGACAGTGCTTCCCTATGTAGCCTTGGCTGTCATGGACTTACTTTGTAGACCAGCCTTGAATTCACAGAGACACGCCTGCCTCTGCTTCCCAGAGAGCTGGGATTACAGGTATACACCACTGTCCTTGGCTACAATCATCTCTTTTAATTTACGGTTCTACTAAGCTTCAACAACACCTCTCACCATGTTAGAATCTGCAATCCATATAGCTTCTTTTGTTTTACTAAACCTCTCTCCCAAACCCCAGGGCCCTGGGAACTACTGCTGTGTCTTCTCTTTGGAGAGTTCTCTTTCTAACACCTTTTATATGTTATTTTTTTCCTGTCAACTTGACACAAACCTAGACCTATGTGCCTTTTTACAAATTATTTTTTAAAAGGTAGTTGTTAGCAATTCTTTGATTTTCTCTATTCCCTTGCTATTTAGATCTACATCAATATATTTTTTATAGGTTTTGTTTCCTTTTAATTTTTTTCCTAGTTATATGAGGTGGATTTAGTTCATAGCCTGGGGATCTTTCTTACTGTCCACTATAAACATGTGATGATGTAAACTTTCCTTTAAGAACATTTTTAGCTGCATCACATAGATTTTTGATATGTCGCAGACTTTTTTTTTAATCAGTTGTGACTTCCTCTTTCTTTTTTCTGTTCTCCTTTAATTTCTCCCCCCCCCCCCCGCCCCCTTTTTATTTTGAATTTTTTGAGGCTTGGCTTACTGTCTTGCTGAAACCAACAGCATTGTGTTCCATAACATGTTAAACCATGTTGAGCTTTTCTAACATTTTGGAGCCTTTTCGCAGTCTAGCTCCCTAAACATCCTCTCTCTATTTTCTCCAGCCTCTCACCTAGGAGCACACATTCTAACACTCAAATGCCATCCTAAGCCACACTTATATGCCACAATATAGGGAAGCTGTTCATTTCTAAAACAGAGGCATTGTGTTCATTAGCATTGCATCTAGGCAGACGATTTTAAACTGCCATGGGGATGGAGATGCTGTGGTTCTTTACCAGGGCTTCCAGGGAGAAGGAAGGCAGCCACTGACACCATCTCCTCACCACTGCCATCAGTCTCACTCACTGTGTGTCTTTGTTTTTGCCCTGTACCTGAAGTCCTTTCAAGCTCAATTCGATGCCTCTGCTCTTCTAGCCAAATATTTCTCTTCCTGTCTATCACCAAGGTAACACAAACCATCTCCTGAGCAATTACCTCATGTAACAGTCTGCCTGCTCACTCGGGCAGGAAAGCCCTCTAATTACATAGCATCCAAAATGGATGGGAAACCCATAGTCATAGTCTGGCCTGAGCAATTCTCCATTCATGGCATATACACTGTCCCTATTACTGGGTCAGGCTGGAACTGGTCATCCCTTTATAAAACTGAGCTCTTTTATCACATCTGAGGGCAGAGTGTGATGAAAGAAAACAAAGCAAAACAAAACCCTAAGAAACCCTGTCCTCTGATGCTGAGACTTATAGCCAAACTTTGGGCAGAGGGCAGGGAATCTTATGAAAGAAGGGGGAGATATAAAGACCTGGAGATTACAGGAGCTCCACAAGGAGAGCAACAGAACCAAAACATCTGGGCACAGGGGTCTCTTCTAAGACTCATACTCCAACCAAGGACCATGCATGGAGATAACCTAGAACCCCTGCTCAGATGTAGCCCATGGCAGCTCAGTGTCCAAGTGGGTTCCCTAATAAGGGGAACATGAACTCAGTGGCAGGCTCTTTGATCATCCTCCCCCTGATGGAGGGAGCAGCCTAACCAGGCCACAGAGGAAGACATTGCAGCCAGTCCTGATGAGATCTGATAGGCTAGGCTCAGAGGGAAGGGGAGGAGGACCTCCCCTATTAGTGGACTTGGAGAGGGGCATGGGAGGAGATGAAGGAAGGAAGGAAGGTGGGATTGGGAGGAGGCTACAGCTGGGATACAAAGTGAATAAACTGTAATTCATTTAAAAAATTAATTAATTAAAAAAAGAAACCCTGTCAAATGAGGAGGAGGGGACTGCGTCACTTTTCTCTGAGAATGGCTGGTGTGTCTTCATTTCTGCATACCTATTCACAAAGCTCACACATCTTGAGAACATCTCTGTGATAATTTGATTCTGACATGCAGTCCCACAGGTCATGTTTGGATGTTTTTTCCCCAACTGGCGACACTACTCTGGGAGGCAATGGACCCTTGCTGGAGAAAGTAGGCCATTGGGGTTGGGGTCACGGTTTGAAGATTATAGTCTGGGCCTTGCTCCTGTCTTGCTCTCTCTGGCTTGCTTTCTGGTTTGCTGTGATGAGAGCAGCCTATACCACAAGCTCTAGCTGATCTGCCCCTCCATGCCTTGGGGACTGAAACCATGAACCCAAATACATCTTTCTGCCTAGGTTTCTATCAAGTACGGTGGTCTTAATGATAACAATCCCCACTGTGTTAATCTGTCTGAAAATGCCTTCACAGACACTCCTAAAGATGTCTCTTAGGTGGTTCTTAATCCTGGTAAATTGAAAATCAAGGCTAGCCATCACACTTTCTATCCTGGAATCTGATGAAAACAAGGATAAATTACCTATGTATGAGTCTGAATGACAGTGATGATTTGTATCCTTGCCTTTCTCCCCATTCAGAGCCCTGGGTAAAAGCCATTTCCACCAAACAATGATGAGATTCTGAGGGTAACAGGGGGAA